TTCGAGCCCAGCCTGGTCTCTAGAGCGAGTGCCAGGATAGACTCCAAAGCTACACAGAGAAACCCTGTCTTGAAAAACCAAAAAAAAAAAAAAAATCTATATATTTAGACAGCTATTCTCAGTAGTGATCCTTATCACCTTTTTTGATACAGGGTCTCACTATGTAGCTCTGGCTAGCCTAGAACTCACTGTAGAGTAGGCTGGCCTTGAACCTGCTGAGATTTGCCAGCCTTTGCCTCCCATGTGCCAGGATTAAAAGCATGCATAACTATGCTCAGCATGATTTTCTTCCTGATAAGTAAAATAACATCCAGAGATAATACTTCAGACTGTCACTGCAGCATCTGCCTGTAGTCGGAAATAACATGCTTACTATAGTTTTAACCAAAAGTGGCCGATAAGATGGTTGAATGGTTAAGAGCATTTGTTGCTCTTGGAAAAGACACAGTTCAATTCTGAGGACATAGTGGTTCACAGCCATCTGTAACTCCAGTTCCAGGGGGTCTGATGTCCCCTTCTAATCTCCTTGGGTACCATACATGCACATACATATATGCAGGCAAAACATACACAAAAGTAAATGGAATAGGTATTGTTTTAACATAAAATTAAATGATGGCTATTATCTCTCCTCCTATCTATAAGTTATATGGGAGGTACCTCAAATGAATCCTAGCCACTCCAACTACTTTTAAAGGACCTATTGGAGACTAGTTTGGAGGCCAAAGGATAAGAAGGCCCACAGTGGATGGATGCACTCTGAGCACATCCAGAACTTCTAATGGACTTGAATTTGAACATTTAAAGAATACTGTTATTCTAGCCTTGTACTTGGAATGCTCCTAACTTTTCCCTTCCTTCTTTCTTCACATCTCCTAGAAAGCAGTTGAGGACTTTTCTTTTCTCCACCTGTTTGTTACTCAAATGATTCTAGGATTACCTCTTGGAGAGTGGGGAGAATAGGGACCTTGATGAAACCAGAAGGTAAGATTTGGATCTAAGCTGTGTAGGGTTAAAAGGTCCCAAAGAAAAGTAACCAGTTTCCTAACAGGCCAAAACCCAAATATCTGGGCCTGTTGGCTAAGATAGATATAAGGCTCTGTTAAGACAAAACTCCTTCTGGTCCCAGGAATAGAATTTCTGGCCTGAGAGAGAACCTACCTTCTCGCTGGGCCAGGTCTAGCACTAGATCAAGGAATCACTCGTAGGAAGCCAAGACCTTAAATAAGGCTTAATCCACCACTTATAACAATAATTTACTGTTACTAGAGATTTCAAAGGGGCATCATATGCTGCCTAAGTTGGAAAAAAATGTATAATCATTGGTTTTGGGTGGTAGAGAGAGTACAGCAAGCATGATGACCTGAGTTTGAATACCTAGCATCCATGTCAAAAGCTAGGGATAGTTATGCAGGGACCCGTAGCCAGAGTACTATGAAGGCCAAAGACAGGAATTGCTTAAATTTGCCGGCCTAGGTTAAACAAGAGACCTTATTGTACCGATATTTTGCCTGAGAACCTGTAACAATGGCCATGCCTTTTGGGCGAGGTTATAGGTGTGGACAAAAGGTGTGTGTGTGAGGGGACTAGAGCCCCTTGGGTCGCAGAGAGCATGGGAGAAGCAGTGTCTACATCCTTGTAGCAGAGACACTGACAGTCACTCACTGTTACCTGTGTAAGTCCATTGTAACGTCAGTTTTCTGTCCCGGCAGGTCCCTCCTCCCTTCTGTGCCCCAAAGAAACACACAGACGCTATATTAGTATAAGTATGTTGGCTGGCGACTTGGGCTTCTTAGTCCAGCTACATCACTTCCTGGGATTACATGATGATTCCTCTCTGTCTACACTTCCCTGAATCCTCCTTGTCTCCTAGTCCTACCGGTCTTCCTACCTGGCCAATCAGTGTTTTATTCATCAACCAATAAGACAAAAATATTCACAGAAGAACATTTCCCCATCAGTCCATCCCCAATAAAACACCACTTATCATTTATACTGGGTCTGGTGAATTCATAATTTCCACACCTACACCTTTTCTCAAAGGAATAAGGCAGAAAATGATAGAGTATCTTCCACATGCACAAGCAAGCACACATGAGCACACACGTGCACAAATGGTTACCATTAGTATAATTTTTTTTTTATGCTGTCATTTCCACAATTAAAAGTAATGTCTTAGCTGGATGTAGTGGCACATGCATGTAACCCAGCACTGGTAGGGGCAAGCAGGAAGATCAAGAGTTCAAGGGCGCCTCTTGACTTTAGATAACAGGGTTTCTTTGAGTATCCCTGGGATGGCCTGTAATTAGCTTTGGATACCTGGATGGCTTCAAACTCACAGAGATCTGCCTGCCTCTGTCTCCCAAGTGCCGGGATTAAAGGTATGTGCCTTCACTGCCCAACCAGCCAACCAGTCTTTTTTTTTTTAAGTAATTTATTTTTTTTAATCTTATGTGCATTGGTGTTTTTGCTTGCATGTCTGTCTGTGTTAGGTTGTTGGATCCCTTGCAACTGGAGTTACAGACAGCTGTGAACTGCCATGTAGGTGTTGGGAATTGAATCCTGGTCTTCTGGAAGAGCACCTAGTGCTCTTAAATGCTGAGTCACCTCTCCAGCCCTTTAGCCAATCTTAAAACAACAACAACAACAAAATGTGTGTCCTGATGTGTTCAGCATACTTCTTTTTGCTAGTGAAAAACCTTCCATACTAATACTTGTGGTCTCAGAATAAATTGACCCATCTTCTCAGAATTAAATTTGGCTTATAAATCATTCTTACTATTTTTTCTCCCTCAAAGCAACATACTTATAAGCAAGAAAAATGTTCTCTGGACAGATGGTATTAAAGTTATTCCAATGTCAAACTCTTGATTGATTGATTCACTTACTTATGTATTGATGCTGAGAATCAGTTTCTAGGGTCTTACACATGTAAAGTATGTGCACATCCCCTGAACTATAACCCAGTCCTGAAGGATTTCTACATTAATTTTAAAGGAATATGTTCCTTTTATTCTAATCATCCACAGTCTGGACTGGGTGTGTACCTCATTGGCAGAGTGCTTGCCTAGCATGCCTGAATCCCTAGGCCTGATCCCCAAGATCACACAGTTCAGGTAGGGTGGTTCAGATGTGTAAGATCTGAAGCCCCATATTAGAGGATGGAGAGATGTTTCAGGAATTCAGACCACTGGCTGATCTTCCAGAGGACCCAGGTTTGATTCCCAGTACCCACATAGCAGTTTACACTCATCTGTAACTCCAGTTCCAGCAGATCTTGTAGCATAAATAATAAAAACCCAGAGAAAGATATTGGGGTTCAAGCTGAAGATTAGAAAAGCAAAGCAGCCAACCCACCAGAGAGCTTTTACCGCTCCCAAGCTGGGGCGTTCCTGTCCTCAATGTGGTTGGAGACTAATTGCCTGCTCTCAGACCCTGCTCCTGTCTTATATGCCTCTTTAGTAATGGGATTAAAGATGTGAGCTCTGTTTCTCTTTTAGACAGATTTCACTCTCATGTAGCCTTGGGTGGCCTTGAACTCAGAGATCCATCTGGCTCTGTCTCCTGAGTCCTGGGATTAAAAGTGTGCACCACCACTGCCTGGCCTCTATGGCTGTGGCTAGGTTTGCATTCTGATCTCCAGACAAGCTTTACTGGATCATAAACAATGCATCGCCATAAGATCCAAAGCCCTGCTCTGGGCCTCCTTGGACACAGCACATATGTGATGAACAAGCATGCAAAGTTATCCTAAGGTACATAGTTTGAGACCAGCTTTGGCTACATGAGGCCCTGTGTAAAAATAGACACTCATAATAATTTTCTTCTTCTTTTTTTTTTTTTTTGGTTTTTCAAGACAGGGTTTTTCTGTGGCTTTGGAGACTGTCCTGGAACTAGCTCTTGTAGACCAGGCTGGTCTTGAACTCACAGAGATCCTCCTGCCTCTGCCTCCATAGTGCTGAGACTAAAGGTGTGTGCCACCACCGCCGAGCTTAGATACTCATAATAATTTTCATTTTCTACTTGAATACTAATCTCCTTGCTTCACATAAGTACTTTGATGTTTGGGCCACAGAAGAATATGGAGCATCAGCTTAGCCTGAGGTGAATTCCAATTATATGCAATGAATTGTTGGGCAGACTCAACATAAGTCTGTTTCCACAAAGGCCTAGAAATCTTTACAGGGTTTAAAGTCATCCTTCAGGCAAGAGACAGACACAGAAAGTCTGCTTCAACTGCAAATCTTGAACCTTCCAAACGGGGTGGGGGGGGACACAGACAATTTTTGTCCAGTCTCTCACTTGGATTGAGTCCCAGGTCAGCAGTATAGTACATTCCTTGCTCCCTTCCTCTCCAGGTGGAAAACAGGATATGACTTTAAAGCTAAAGTACTCAATAGGAATTTTGAGGCATAGTCTTTTTCTTAACTTTTTTCAAAAAATATTTTATTTTATGCATGTGTCTTTATGAATGTATGCTATATGTGGGAGTGCCCATCAAGGCCAGGAGAGTGTTTCTAACACCTCTGCAGTTACAAGCAGTAACTCCATAAATAAGCCACCCTGAGGGTGCTGGGATTGAAGCCGAGTCCTCTAGACAAGCAGCAAGTATCCTTCACCATTGAACCCTCTCTCCAGCCCCCTCCTTAACTGTTTTACTTTTTCAATATTTATGTTTAATGGGTAGGCCTAGGACAAGACTGGTCAGCCTCCCTGCTTACCCAATAGACCTTCGACCAGTTACTTAATTTCTCCTGAACCTCAAAACTACATAGCAATTATATAACTATAATATAGAAGAGGAGAATGATAAAAGTAGATCAGAGAATAAGAGAGAATAAGAGTGCTTGCCACTTTTGCAAAGGGTTCGCCTGGTCTACATAGCAAGTTCCAATCCAGCTGGAGCTGTGTAGTAAGATCTTGTCTCAAAAACAAAACAAAAAAGTAAAACACTTAAATACATATTAAAGAATTTAGAATTCGGCCTGGCACATAACAAGGAGTGTATGTGTGTTTTCTGTTGTGGAGTGGAAGCCAAGGTTAAGTAAAGATATTGGAAGATGAGGATTAAAAGCAATAAAGTAGATGGCATTTCCCTTAAATTTATCACAAGACTTGTGGTAGTTTAGTGTCTCATGGACCCTGCATTTTTAATTTGAAAGAGTCTAAAAGCATATAATTTTAAACTGGAAAGTAAAAAAATAGCTTTTTATTTAAAAGGAGTGGAAAGACTTCGTAGGCAGATCATAAGCGCACCATCTGGTTAGCTCCAGTGAAATCCTAAGAGCTTAGATTTCACATATTTATCAGCCATGTGTGGTTCAAGACAAAACTCCCGGAGCTAAAAATATAGAGCTGTATTTGTTCTGCTATTCGTAAGAGAGTTGGAAATGCTGCTCTGCTTCGATTCTTAAAGATCCATTATCCTGAGAACCAGAATCCACTGGGATTTACATTTCTCAAGATCAAATATTCAACAGCATGCTAGACAAATTCATCACATAAAATATGGAAATTTTTGACACGGTAGTAATAAACTTGAAAATATATTACTTTCACAGTGATTCTCAGCCAGCAACAGTCTTGTCCTGCCTCCCACCCCACCCCAAAGGGGAATTCTCAATGTCTGAAGACATTGTTACAGCTGCTGTGTGTGATAGGGTTGGTGGTACTGGCATCTTGTGTTAGAAACCAGGAATGGAGTCTGGCAGTGGTGGCACATGCCTTTAATCCTAGCACTTGGGAGGCAGAGGCAGGCGGATCTCTGTGAGTTCAAGACCAGTCTGGTCTACAAGAGGTAGTTCCAGGACAGCCTCCAAAGCCACAGGAAACCCTGTCTCAGAACTCCACCCCCCCAAAAAAAAAAGAAAAAAAATCAGGAATGGTGCTAAGTAGTCTACATTGAGGCCAAGGATGTAGCTCAGTGGTAGAACATTTACCTAGCATGTGGAAGGCTGTGAGTTCTGTCTTCTACCTGGCAAATCAATACCTTACCATGTACTATAAAGGCTCCTCCCCCCAACAGTTATCTATTCTGACATGTGTAATGATGCTAAAGTTAGCCAGGCAGTGGTGGCGCACACCCTTAATTCCAGCACTTGGGAGGCAAAGGCAGGGGGATCTCTGTGAGTTCGAGGCCAGCCTGATCCACAGATCAAATTCCCGGACAGGCTCCAAAGCTACACACAGAAACCCTGCCTTGAAAAACCAAACCAACAAAACAAACAAACAAAAAAACCAAAAACTTGGGACTGGAGAAATAGGTCATCTGTAAAACAGACTTATTATCAATGCTTGGCCTAGCTTAGGCTCATTTCTGCCTAGCTCTTTTAACTTAAATTAACATGTTTCTCTTTATCTCCTTTTTGCCTAAGGGCTTTTTACCTTTCCTTTCCTTCTGTGTATTTACTTACACTGCTTCTGTGGCTGGCTGAATGGCAGCTACCTGGCTGGCTGGCTCAGGGCATTTCTCTCTTTCCCCATTCTCCCTCTTCTCTTGTTCTCCTAGTCATTCTCTTTGCCCAACAGCCTTGCCATTCCCTCTCCTGCCTAGTTACTGTCCATTCAGCTTTTTATTAGATAAGTCAGGTGCCTTAGACAGGCAAAGTGAAACAGATGTCACACTTTTATCTAATTAAACAAATGAAACACACCTTTACATGGTTAAAGAAATATTCTGAAGTATAAACAAATGAAACATGTCTTTTCCTAGTTAAAATAATATTCCACAATAGATAGGTCCCTGTGTTTCACTAGCTAGCCAATGTACTCTAGTCAGCCAGTTCCAGGTCCCTGTGAGAGATTCTGTCTCAAAAAAAAATCACACATACACACACAAATAAATAAGCACCAAAAAATATTGAGGGGAGGACAGCAGCAGTGGGTAAGAGCTCTTACTACCAAGTCTGATAACCTGAGGATCCCTGGAACCCACATAGTGAAAGGAAAGGACTGACCCAGTAAGTTGTCCTGACTTACAGGAACACACTGAGC